TTATAAAGGTGAGACCACATAAGTTTGGCAGTAAGGCCGTGATGTGTGGGCTGAGGGTTAAAGAACTGAGTTACTTGGCAGGTATCATCCTTAGTCTGTGCCTTGGATACCTGCAGTCTCCCTAGCACAGACTTACTCATGTGCCATCTTCAGAGGCTGGAGAGGCTTTGAACTGCTGGGAAACCAGCAGTTTAGCCAGGTGCTGCAGGCTTCCAAGAGAATGAGGAGCACCATGACGAATCATCCCTTCTAGTAGAGCCAAATTCCAGAGTTGCAAGTCTCCGTCCCAGCTAGGCTCGCAGTACATTCCACTAAAGGAGGCAGTTGCCAAGAAAGTCCTTGCATTCAATTTCTTGAAATTTTCTTACCTTTTTCCTCCCTCTTGTGTGTTTTTCTAGACACAACTAAACCTAACTGTTTTCCTCTTTTCTGTGTGTGTGTTTTGCTTGTGACTTTTTCCATATGGTCTCACCTTACAATCACATCCTTCTCCTCATAGATTGTACTATCTTCCACAATTCTGTTTATTATACTTAAAATACAGACTGCCAAAAGCCGACTTGCCACCTTGTGTGCCTGAAGTAAGCCAGAAAGGGCTTACTGCATTGCTTACACATGAAATGCAACTTGCCCATGGTAGATTTAGAGCCATATGGTGTTAAAATCTCCAGTTCTGCACATCAGATTGCACAAGTAAGAGTAGTTGTGAAAGGTCAGAATATTGCTCTATATGCTGTTTGAGAAGTTAAAATTGTGATACTGTTGTGAAAGTTTTTTATTGTTAGCATTAAACTTTTCTCTAATCGCTAATAACGTTGTACATAAGACTGTATCATTGTCATACAGATGTTAGGGCTAGAATCCCCTTGACTTTCCTAATCTTATTTTATGATGAGACCACAGCCTCCTTACATCGCCCTTTTTGCTGAAGTACATATTTTCCCTGTCATGTATAACATGGCAGGTGGGAAGTCCTTGTGTGCTATGTCATCTGATTGTTCATATGTGTAAATTTTTGTGGAGTACATAATATCCTGAGACCAGCATATTACTGACAGAATTATCTTAATGTATTATGTCCGTGTGAAGACTATTCCTGTCTGGTGCATATACATAGGGAAGTAATATTTAAGTTCTTTTCTTCTGGCCTTGTGGCATGAGTAGAGAAATAGAAATACTGCAAATAATCGAAGAAGCACCAGAAAAATTAGTGGGAATAGTACTGTGTTGTGGTAAATATCAATTTAAAGACTGTCTACTGTTAAAAGTGTCAACTGTTGTAGGTTTTAAACATATAGTTTCAAGTAACTGATTTAAAATCACTTAACATGGTCTTAGAAGGTAATTATACGTGGCAATTTATCATTTATTTAGACTTACTGTTTACCGGAAAGAACATGTAATGCAGACTTTTCCATTTGCTTGCTCTGACATCAAATATTTTTCTGTGATGAATACTTTGTACTACAGAAATAACTGAATTTGGAAGCTGTTATTTATATATCTATATGTGTTTATGTATATAGATATTCTACATACACACACACACACACACACACAGAGTTAATGACTGGATGGCAGAACATAGAGTTCTTATTAATTTAGAAAAGTATATTTTTATATATAAATATGTATGCACACAGAGATACTAATTATGTCATAAATATATGCTGTATAGTTAAGAGTTGAAGAAAAGTTAGAGAAGTCCAGCCAGTATTTCTTGAGTCTGTGTACGTCTGTACAGATGTATCCTTTGCTCAACTGACCCTGCTAATCTACATGATCTTGAATAACATGACCAAGTGATTGAAAATCAAGTAGCATTCAAATATGTTCTCATTCTTTTCTTGAAGACAATATGAATTTCTTCAGTATGCCATAGAGATGAAGACAAGAAGTCTTAATTCCTCTTCACTATAAAAGCAGCAAAGCAAAAACCTTTCTAGAACAGAAACCATTTTATAAGCCTCAACTTACCCTTATTTTATTCCGTAATCCAGTTATCTGCCCTTCTCCTCACACCACCACTTATATTACTGACCTCATTTTTCAAAGAAAATACCATCAACATCTAGGGTAAACTTGTGGGTTTCCTAGAACAACAGAGAATGAGACTAGAAACTTGGCTGTGTTTGAATTATATGCATGTATGAAGTTACAAATATCTCTCTGCAGGTTTGGAGCCTTGATAGTTCCTACTGTTTCAGTTTTTCATCAGGCTTTGGCATGTGCAGACCAATTTTGTAGGGTACCCTGTAAAATGCTTCGCTATGATCAAAGTATCATCACTTCTGCATTTCCTTTGTACAAAAGTTGTGGGAAAACATCTTCAAAAAGCATTCATTTTGTGATAGATTTTTCTTTTTGAACCCTAAGATATTTGTTACCTCATTCCCCTGTAAGTTTTCCCTCAGATATTTGTTTGATTATTTGACACTATTACATAGGGAACATCTTAAAAAAGTGGAACGTAATAATCCCTTTTAGTTTTGATGCCTATTGTTTTTCCACTTTTTTTTTTTTAAAAAAAAGGCTGTTCTGCCACACCTGAGGGAAACTGAGCAGCTTTTAGCAGCAAAAACAGCATCACATTTTCAGACAAAGAACTATGATTTCATTCTTGTCCATTTCAAATGGATTAGAAAATGTTGTCCAAATTGGGCACCACGCCAAGATTGCCATTAACTTTTCCTATAAAATTTGATTAAGGACCTTAACAAGCATTTAGTAATTAAGTGAAGTGCTTTGGAAATTTATATGCTGTCCACAGTTTGTCATATGCAGTGAAATACTGAAGACAGTTTTTATGAAACGCAATAAAAATAAAGCACTTGAGAAACATCTGGGAGTGTTATCTGATCGTGTGTGGGGGAATAGTTTCATTTGTAACAGAATATTTTGATATTTAAAATTAATGTTGTGTATAGTTGATTTTTTGTTTGTTCTTTAGGTTAATGAGTAATTGACTTAATGTAGTAATTTCTATAATTGCGTAGTCCCTTCTAGTGTCCACGTTACTTCATTTTGTACCCTGAGTGCATTATTTTCCATGTATTCCATTGGTTGTGTACTGTTCTATATTTGGTTTCTGGTTTCATTTAATGCAGCTGAATTTGCTGAAATAATAGTGCAAAGAGTGTTGAACAGACTCTGAATGAGGCAGATTTCCCTGTGGCACAGCAGAGAAAGCAGTATAGGCTTTTAGTCTGATAATGTTCAGTGGATGGGAGGGTTGTGCGTTTGACTTTAGCTTTGCTAACAAAGAAGAAGGCCGGTGTGTTGCTGCTGAGGTAGCTTTTATGTGCTACGGCCATTCATAGTGATTTACAAGTAATTTTCTCTGCGAATCTCTCTCTCTTCTGATAGTTTCCAGCTTCCTTTGACACAGAGTACATTCTGGATAGTACAACAGGCCTAATAGAATAATGGCACTAGATTAGCTTTGCTGTGCTTTTAAAGGAATTGATTCAAACCTGAAATTTGAGGAGAGATGCCTTTCAAAACCGCAAAAATACAGGCAGCAAAATCTGCTAGAATTGAAGGCTGCTGAATTTTTTACCAGTATAGTTGTTCTAGGTTATTAAAGAATAAAAGGCTATTCAAATTTGCCATCTGTGCCCCTGCCCCACAAGTATGTAACCATGTGAATAACTCTACTCATGTGGATAAAGCCATGAGAAAAAGATGGGCCTTCTTATCCTTGTATGTATGTTACGTGAACCAGTGCTTTCGTGACTGCATGCCTCATCCAGGCAGGGCACCTTACTAGTTTTTCCTATTTCCAGCTGCCCCAGCTGGTTTTAGGAGCTTTTCAACCACCAGCATGAATCTCGTGATCTTATCACACACATATGTAAGGTATTTCCTTTGCCTATCAAATGTTTAATAACAACACATCTTTGGCGAGCAATTAGTTTGCTTATAAGGTAAAAACCAAAAATAATCCTCCAGAATTTATAAGCTGAGGGAGACAGGAGAAGAGCTCCATGCTTCTCTTCTGCACTTCGCTAGCACCTTAACACCAGTGGTCAGAGAAGCACTTTCCTTCTGGTCTTATGTAAGAGAACTGTTCCTGTCTTAGGAGAGAAGGATAACAGAAGTCTTCTGTACCAAAGCTCAGTCCCCTCTGTGCCATGTAGAAACCAGCCAACTTTTATCTTTTAATGTGGTGCACGCCACATTTTTCTGTTCCATACAAACGCCTTATGGTAGTATTCAGTGCTAAGCGAAACGTTACAGAATGTGTGTGAATATGGGCTGATGAGCTTTAGTATGCTATAGATAGGTAAGCCTGATACAATAGGTGTATTTTCTCTCTTACATTTGCATTGTGCAGATAAATCATATTTTTCTTCAGCTTCTCCTTTGAGGCACTAAACGATTTTCAAAAAAGTGCATGGTAATTGTATAGAAAGGCAGTTTGTTTTTGTTTGCACATGCGTACGTGAGTGAACACACTACCAATGCCATTTTGTCTGTATGATGTATATCTGCCAGGGTTTTTGGGTTTTTTGTTTCTTTTTATACTGTGAGCTTTTTCCTCTATGGCAGTACTGTCCTCCATGTTTGGGATGCTGTTCTGATATTATTACAGTTATGCTGATATAAAAAGCATGTAGTGCATGAGATTCAGGCACTATTTACCTGCCAAGTTTCCAAAAATCACTGTTAAGACAGCTGCCACAATCCTTTCATGCATAGTTTTGCTAAATCACTTTCAGATCTGTTTTTCTGGTAACTAGGGAGTAAAATATTGCTCTGGACTGTGAAATGGCAGAGGGACAATTTGTTTTCAGAATGAGAAAAAAAGTTCCGTGTTCCTTTAAAAGAGTGTTAGTGCCTATTTGTCCTTATATTATTCTTTGATACTGTCTTATCATGAAATTTAAAAAAAAAATCTCCAATCTTAGCATGATGTTTGAGAATAATCACCTATATACATTTTGCGCAGGAGTTTAAACAATTAACGTTTTTTTCCCTTATTTTGTTTTTTATGTCAGAGCATTCTACTTGGACAAGTCGAACCTGCCTCCAAATTCAACATCTAAAGCAGCATATATAGATAAGGTAAATAAAAATGTTAAATGACTAATTAAGCTTTTCATTTTCCAGACTGTGTTATTGTAATCCTTTCCTGTGACTTTCTTTATTCCACTGAAAAGCTGAATTATTCAAAACTGTGGGGGACAGGGAAAGGGGGAGCTCTCTTAATGGCATTTTGTCCCACCTCTGTTTTATGGGTATGTGGTGCCATGTGGTTCTGTATCAACATGCGAGACGGGGGAATCACTCTATCTGAGAAGCTTTCCCTTTCCACTGTGTTGTCAGAGCAATGCAGTTGCCTCAGGAGCATGCAGGTGGGAGCAGGTGCAGGCAGAAATCTTTTGTTCTGAAAACTGGAAATACTGTTCAAAAAGAAATGCTCTAGTATCCCCTTCAGAAGGTTGCCTTCTGAACCTCCTCGTTTAGGCTTCCCCTGTCTTTAAACCTCTGTGACTGAGAGATCACAAGGGCTATGAATCTTCATTTAACATTACATCCCCTTTGTTGGAGAGTTCAGGTCCACATTGCAGCCCAGTAAGAAAAGAGGATGTTCCTAGGGCCTTGCCTATACTGACTTCTGAGCCAAAGTGGCTGAAGTACTGTGGCTTGACAAATACAGTGATCAACAGCTGAGCCCTGTGGCAGACTAAAATTTTACATTGGTGTAATCCAACGTGAGTGTTAACAGACTGGTAGTTCCTGTTACTTGGATCTGTGCTGGACTGCATGGTCCATCTGTAGAGAGTCAGCAACTTAATTTTCTGTGTTCACAGGTGCAGCAGGAGAAATTTAGCTATATGTGAAGTGCTCATTTTCCCCAAACCCGTTCCCTGTCTATTTTAGTGAAAACATCAGGGGCAAGATAAAAGCATCTGATAAGCCAGATCTGACCAGGGAATGCTATGACTAATGGTGGTTTAATCTAATGCATTTTCTTTGTAACTGGAGTGAGCTAAGAGCGAGCGCTTGATCTCAGTTTGTGGCTTTGACTTTTGGTCTTTTCTCCATACCTCTGCAGCAGTAAATGGCACCAGTTTAGATCAATTTAAATGTATGCAAGCTAAATCAATAGGAGGTAAACCAACTTAAGTCTATTTGTGCCCGGGTTTAAATGATTGTTATAATTGATTTACTTGACCTGCACACTTTCTGATGAAGGAAAAACATAAGAGCAAGTGAGGCTGCTATTTCTCCAATTAGTTAAAACTATCTTTAGAGAATGATACTCTGTCTTTCAAAAGTTGTATTCTTTGAGTAACAGAGAGTTTTGTTGGAATCTTTAAGTCTCTCTAGAATAAAGAGAAAGGGAATTTGGAGTTATGAGGTCTGCAAAAGTGTGTTGTGAGCCTTTCTTTTGCACAAACCGCCATGAGATGCTGATTTTCATTGCTAGATTGTTCTTGAAGGTTGCTCTTCTGAGAGCAGTCTTCCCCATGAAGGTGCTTTCTTACTGAAAGTAGGTGGATCATTTCATTCTCTGCGCAGTTATGCTGAGGTGGTTTTGAGTCCTGCCACAGAGTTAACTGCTCTTGTTTTGTGGTATATTTTTTGTCACTCCTGTTTGCTTTTCTTTTTCCATGTTGTTAGTCAGGATTAGAAACTGGCCGTTGGCATACATAGAGGTCACTGTTGTCCTACTTATAAGCTGATTTTCTCAGAAAGCCAATTAGCCAGTCATGGCATCCCTCCTGCGTGTGCGTACAGTTGTGGGTTGTCTCTTTGTGGCTTCCTTTCTTTGGAAGTACCATTCATGGAAACAGTACTTACTGATGGGCCTATTCAGTTTATTGAAGTGAAAAGCACCTCTGTAGGCAGGACTGGGAATGAAACAGTCAATGATAGTAATAATTTAAAAGCTAGAAAAAAATTTCCTAAGTCATGTCAGAGAAGACTGTATACTTTGTATTTACATTATGGGATCTGGCTTGGGCTTTCTCAGCCAGCCTCGCTGTTCTAATCTGCGTCAGTAAAGACTGCAGATCACGACCCTCCAAGCATTTGCTTCTCACTATCCTAAAAGAGTGTTTTACGTGCTTTTGGTAGCAAATATTTAAATCTCTCTCTCTTCTCTATCTTGCAGTTTATGAGACCTCTCAATTGCTTGGATGAACTTTACCGACTCATAGGGTCCTTTATCCGATCCAAACGCACCGCTGCCTGTGCGTACACCGCTTGCAGTGCTTCTGGAGTTGGGTTGCTCTCGGTGTCTTCGGAGCTCTGTAACAGGCTTGGAGCATGTCACATCATTATGTGCAACAGTGGAGTTCACCGGTATGACAGTTTATTTCTCTCCCTTTGTTCCAATCAGCCATTCAGTCATTGCAATTCAGTTGGGAGACTGGTTTTAAACTCATAGAAAGTCACATGCATTTCTGTGTATGTGGGTAAATGTCTAATACACGTAAAAGGTTTGTGATGAAATTCTAGAATTGTATTTGCCTTGATTGACAAAAATGAGCAGCATGATTTTGTTTTGTACAGTTGTAATGGGTTGTTTCTCATTCAAGTCAGTAGAAGGCAGAAACCCTAATTGCTAAAGTGGAAAAAGGAAGATTTCCTAGGTGTATAGCACATACTATATTAAGCTTGTAATACAGACAAAAAAATGTTAAAATTTGTATTTGCTATATGCTAGGGGTCATCTTAATAGAACTTGTTTCAAGGAAAAAGCAAAACAGAAGAGCTATGCATTTTTGCAGGTGTAGCATACAATAACTGGAAGTTCTATCTGTAGAACAGTCTTGATGTGATTAATATAATAGCAGAAAATGAACTGAGCTATAATCAACTAAGCTTTATTGTTGTAAGCGCTAAGTGGTTTTAATAGAGATACACACACACAGACACACACACACAGACACACACACACACCCCCCCCTAAGTGACATTATCATAGTTAAAGAGCTCTGTAGTATTTAATGACTTTCATCAAAGATAGCATTATATTTATGTTCCAGTTGGGCAGGATACAATTTTGTGTACTTTTTACCAATTAGGCAAAGACTGCCATTGGGGGGGAGGGATGCTGAAACACTGCTATTTCTGTAAGAATTCCAAACTGTAGAGTACAGGTAGCAGTGTGTTAAAAATTTGCTCCTTAGTTTCTGACCTTAGGCAAATTTGGATTTTGGCAGACTTCGTTACCAGTACATTATGCTAAAATGAACCTTGCCTTTTCTTAAGTTTAAGTAATACCTTTAAAAGAGCTTTGGAAAAGCAATGCACTGTAGATTCAGTGCAGATTTTAAGGCATGAAAAACAAGAGAAGCTCTGTGTATAGCCAACACAATCACATTATATAACAACAGTGTTTGCCATTTCTATTAGCAGAGATAGCAACAGACTACTTATGACTCTCCATCATTGATACAAGTGTATATAACATTGTATATGGTATTCTGTTTTAGGCAATAATACACAAAAGAGTGCGTTATATAACAGTAGTCACTGTGTTAGATGAAGACAGAAATACTGTATAGCATGGATCAGCATGAATTTGTCATTTTCAGAAAGCCATGAACTATACAGCTTTTTTTCTGGCTCTTTCTTTAGGTTTAAAACAGTTCATAAGAAGTTTCTATGATACAGAGAAAACTTCTTCCCGATTTGGAACTCTTGCTAAACTCCTGATCAACAAAAACAATTATAAGCAGTATTTTTAACTCTGCTGCTCACATAAGAAGCAGCAGCCTTGGTTTCCCAAGCTGCTTATAAAAGTTGTTTGAAAAGGAGCGAACAAGATATAGGGGAAAAAAATCAGGCTTATGTAATTCCCACAAAACAAGGAATAGTAGTTCTTAGGAATCAAAAAGATCGTTAATAGTACTCAGAGTGACTTGCTGTCAGGAATATTAATTACTGTTTCCTCAAAGACTTCTGATTTTAAGAAGGAATTCCTTATTCATGAGTACCCTTCTGAAGACTTTACTGTGTTGAAGTAAGCAAAGTTTATATTTCTTATGTGATGAGAAAAGACTTCGGGCTTGATTCTGCCTTTCCATAGCAAGCTGAAAAGGACTTTGTATTTCCTAGTGATTTCATAGAGTAAATTCTAAATTTACCAATATATTTGCAACAGAAATCTTTATTTTTTAAGAAAAAAGTCAGATCAGCTTTAATATTTCCAATAAACTATCACCCCACAATGCAGAGGTCACAAATTATTCAGAATTATTTGGTGACGAAAGAAGAGGTAGCATGCTTCATAAAAACATGAGCTGTTCTTAGAATGGAATAAATTATTCCTGAGCCTTTTTGCTCATTTATAGGGCTAATTCCAAGGTATAACCTATTAAATGTCTAAGTAAGTATATTTAAAAACCACAAAATGTTAGAAAGCAAACACATTCGGTTTCAAGACTATTTTATGAGTGATGGGAAATGGATGGGTCACGTATGGGTTTCTATCTGAATGTTAAAGGATTCAAGATTGCCTATTTACATAAAGTAAATGTGCAAAGCACTCTTCTGTAAAAGCATGACTGTAGTCCTGCAGTCTTTGAATGCAATCCATTTGAGCTTTTGTATAAGATATCACTATTTCACTTGTCCATTAATATTGCCTTTTTGGCTACCATCCATTCCAAGAAACATCAACTGTTAGCATTATCAGAGACATTTTAACATAGTTCTTCCAGGAAAGAGAAATGCATTAAATGAAATTTTATATGTATCCAAGGAGTTTTTACCTTGAATTTCTGAAAGTTAAGAAAAAAAACTCACTGTATTTAGAGGTCGACAGGGATTCTTGTGCTATTATTTGAAGTGATGAAAGTTGGAGAATTTTTTTTTTTTATTCTTTTCAGGAAACGGCAAACAGTTCCCTGAAGTTACTGTAGTATGTACAAACTTGATGGATGAAGAAGTCTTTTCTTGGACTTCTATGTCATATAATCTCAATTCACGTGTTATTTTCTCCTTCTGGCCTCTCCAGGCCACGTCTCTACACTCCAGTACTAAATAGGCTCTGCTTTTCGGCATTCTGAAATTGCCTTCACTGAGATAGAAAGCTTGTTGTGTCTCCAAATAGTAGGCTCACTGGGCAGATTTTGTTACTGATTAAATTCCTAGACTAAATTCTGCTGTGGTTTTTGTGAACCTGTTCCCCTTGGTACTCCATAGTGAGAAGCTATCTTGCAGCATCATGAAATCCTATGAGTAAGATGGAAAAAAGAAGGAAGGGAGAGGAAGATGCTAGCTGTGGAAAAAGTGCTGTAGACAAAAATTATTTTCCCTGTTGCCTGCAATACTACAGGCCTAATTCTTCCGCTTGTCTGACGGACTATTATTTAATCAGAGCAGAGCATCATGCAGAAGAATAGTCTTAAAGTTGATAAGTTAGTTCCTCAGAGTTCAAGCTACTGATTTGCAATCAGAGTGGATATTTAGCTCTGGACCTATTCACCAATGCATTTTCTCTGCCGTCTGCGTTCTTAGAAACTCAGTGCTCCTAGAGCTATCAAGTACTTGACTGAGATCAGTTGTAGAAATCCAGGTTTTGCAGACCCAGACCAAGGACTCACGACTGCCTGTTTTTAACAATAGGCTATGGAAACTGAATGAGTTGAAAGCTTTTATTCTCTTTGTGCTTACAGGTTAATTTTGAAAGTATATTCTTCATTTATGAGTCTTCTTACCAGCTTGAAAATTAAAAATAATGGACTTAGAGCAAGGTTTGTAAATGCTTTAACTCTAACTAATTTTAGCCTGATTTCTACAATTGATCTCTAATGGAAGAGAATTTCTGAGAGTCTGGAAGAGTTCAGGGTACTTTGCTGGTCGGTATCTTTCTTTTGTTCTTAGGGAGTGGGAACTGAGCAAACCATTAATCTGTCAGAATTTAAATATATATATTTTATTTTGTTTAAAGTGTATTAACTCGGAACCTTCCTCGGAACCTTCCCTCACTTGATTAACTTAACTATCTGTCACTGAACAAAATGTGCAGCCCTTTTTGTGTTTTTCCCAGCTTGGGTATCATGGATTGAGAATGGGAGTTTCTGCCACCCTTCCTCTCTTTCTAACTGGAAACAAATCCCAGATAGCTCGGGAGGGAGATTCTGGGTGGCAATCCCTATGCAGAAGAGGCAGAGAATTATAAAACGGCAGCTTTGTGTGCTTTGACAGTGGTTGCTGATCTCAGGATCAGCAATGTTTTGATTTCTGACTTCTCTGTGATCCATATTAAATTGCTTTTTACGCTGCACTAGGCTAAAACAGCTTGACAGGGTTCATATTTTCATCCCTATATCCATGATAATGCTGTGGATTTTGAGCTGCTCATGATTATTTTGCTTTGATTTTTACGAGGACAATATGTTTACCAATTTGCATTACAGCCTGATATCCTATATCTATTTCAGACAGCAGTTCTTTTCAAATATATTTGAATCACCAGAAGAACAAGCATGGAGAAAAATAAGTTCCTTTAACCTTCAGAATCCTAAGTGACACGTGAATACTACAAACTCCCCTTAGATTATCATAAGTGAACATGCCTTGTTGATCAACATCAGGAATAGAACTCAAAATTAGTCTGAAATCAATAGTCTGCATTTCTATGTTGCCTTTTTTGTCATCCATAAATATATTTCTACCTGCCAATCAGCTGTCACCTATAAACAATACTCTTTTTTCTGCTGCCTGTTTCCTTGCCTAATTTTATTCTATTTGAAGGTGTAATCAGTCTGTACAAATCTAAGTGATGAAAGGCACTTTTAAGTTTTATTGAATCATGATGCTAGCTCCTGCTTGAGAGAGAAGAGAGAGACTGCATTGCACAGACAGGCCTTAGCCTCTTTCCATGCCAAAATGAAATTAGGTGCAGCAGCTGCAGAAGTCTATTCAGGGACCATAAGCCTTACAGGCTCAAAGGAATCATTTAAAGCATCCAAATAAAACAAATCCCAAGTTTATTTAAAATTTTGCATTTCCTGGAGGACTGAGAAAAGAGAGGTCCTTTATAATCTTGATGAACCCCGGAAAAATCACCGTCTTATTTTCTTTTCTGAATTTTAATTTCCCCTCCTGGAAGTCTCTCCTTACTGTTACCATCCTTCCAGCAGTGGGGTTCTGGCTAGCAGACACGCAGCTGAATGATGAGGCAGATTTTGCGAAGGGTTGATTATGCTGTCTCCTGCAGCTGGCACAGCTCTGAAATCCGATTAAACCTGTTGCCATCTTCCAAATGGCAATGCAGGGTAATGCTATAAGCTGTCACTCATGGCCAGCTCCCTTTATGTGACTCAAATTAAACAAGGTATTTATGAAAA